TTAAAGAGATTACTAATGTCCTACCTTTTTTTTTTTTTCTTTTTCTTTTTCTTTGATGGGGAGTTGAAACGACTTCATGATTAACCTTTATAATTTGTCTTTGTCTTCTCTACCATGCCATCCTGGCAAATAAAAATCAAGTCTCTACAATCTTGAATCTTCCCTTAGAAAGGATGAGAAGAAATATACAATTCCATTTTAAAAAAAATAAAAAACTTTTTTCTCCCCTTCATCCCTTTTTTGAACATTCTGTAGTTCCAGGGAAGCCCGATGTGGCAGGCACACCCCTGCTGTCCTTTTTCCTGTTCGATGGTGGCTGCTCCTGCCCACTCTGACTCTCCTGGCCTCCGCGCTGCTCTTCCCTTTGCTCTTTCTGCTGCCCAAGAGCTCCTCACACTGTTGTTTTTAAGCTGACTAGCAGCCTCTCTTTAATCTTAATCTAGTAAAGGGTTCCTATCTACACCCTTTCTTTTTATTTCCACCCTGCATCCTCCCTTCTTTCAGTGAGTCGCCCCTCCTTTCACTGAAAGGTGAGAGAAACAAACATTTGGCCACAGCCTTCCATTCTCCTGTGTGGAAGCTGATGAGGAGAAGAGGTAAGAGAAAGACGAGTTTCCGCATGTACACCTGTCCTGTTTCTTTCTTCCTTATTTCTAGTCATGTTTTGCCATCTCTTAATTAGTTTTATTCCTCTTTTCCACTGAATGTAAGATTAAGAAATGTCTTCTGGGTTCAGAAAGTATCTTCCTCCTCACGTTCTTTCCCACAGCCTTTTCAGAAATTAAAATTCCTGTCATTTCTGAATACTTGTCTAAAAGAAGAACATAATTAGGAAGAAAAACGAACTTTGGATACCCACCTTGGTTTCCACACAAGTCATGTGGGAAAGATTATTATTGCTATTGTTATTTATGAAGTTGGTGGATGTCAAACTAAATGAATAATTTAAAAATACAATGTATAAATGATTAAAACTGTCTGTCCAAAGGGAAGGCTAAAAAGACACTTGTGTGATTCTGTAAATACTTCAGACACTGTGTGTGTTTTATAAAGTCGTGTGTATGGCACTTACCATATTTTCGTTCCTAAGGAGGCAGAAGGAGCTAGACTTTTGTTCTTCAATTTGCTTAATGTTTGTTTCCCTTATTTAGGAAGTCAAAACACTGACCTCATTTTAAAACATCCACAGGGCACTAGGAATCACCATCCCAAAGATTAGGCCCTGAGTAGATTTGCCAGAAGTGCTAGGGAGGTGAGCTGTGTCATGAGAAGGAGGGCTTGTGCTATTTTTAAAATGATTTAACACATCATTGAAATATATCATATACATATCATACCAGTGACACACGCGCTGCATTGTAACATAGCATATGTCATACATACATTCTCTCTCACTCATACACACATACTTGCTCTTCTTGTCCAGCTTTAAAAGAAGAAGGCAGCCGGAAAGCCGAGCCCAGTGATTTGAGTTGAAAAGGCTGTTCAAGTTTAAAAACCAAATGGCCCTCTAGTTCTCAGCCTGGCTCTGAGACATGTGGGAGGGCTTCAAAGGCACAGTGCGGTGCCCCTCTTTTAGAGTTCAGGCTTGCAGTTGGTCCCCAAATGTTTACCAGCATGAAGATGCCTAACTTACAGGAAGTGGGAAATGGGTGTGGGGCGTGAGGGTGGGTGGGTGGGTTGAAAGTGCGGAGAAGAGGGTGGGGGATGTTCTCTTGATGTGGTTAGTCTGTCATTGACCTTGTTTGGGTATAGCAGGAGTTGAATTAGAAAATGAGACCACGTTTCATCTTGGGCATATTTCATCCCATTTTTTACTTTCCTTAGGGGAATACTTTTTTCCCCAAGTAGAGTCAGGTCTCCTCAGTTTCTCTTCATTCTACAATAGTCCTTTCTCCATATAGTCATCGGGCCCCCTACATTGCAATTCCTAACCCACTCAAGCACTGGGGGTCAAAACTACCCCAGCAGCTGAAAGCAAATAACATCGGCTTGTTGAACTGTTGTGTTGATACCATCAGAGGGAATAGCTCAGGATTTCTGTGAACTATTTGGATCTTTCATGATTTGCTGCTGTTGTGAACACTCTTAATGACAACTCTGCCTGAGAAATGCTGATTAATAACGGTAACCGAGGTTTTTTTGGTGTTCTTACAGGGAGGGAAATAATATAATGACTAACAACGCACCAAGTTACTACTTAGAAATAAACATTTTGAGACTTAAGATTCCAGGCAGCCTCAGCCTGAGATAGTTCTCTCTGCACAGCTGTACAAATGACAATGTCTCCCCACTTTAGTCAACATTCCAAACGTGCGAGGCTTGGACCTTCTGGAAGGGGTGAGGTTCTGAAGGTCAGCCCCCGCCCTTTCACCCCTTAACTTTCTTTTACTTGGACAATATTTAAACATTATAACAAACCAAATACCAAACCAGTTGGCGTTGAGATGATTCCAACCTATGGTGACCCCATGCGATGTGGGGGTAAAACTGTGCTCCATAGGGTTTTCAAAGCTGTGACCTTTCGGAAGTGTATCACCAAGCCTTTCTTCCAAGGAGCCTCTGGGTGGGTCTGGACTGCCTACCCTTCAGTTAGTAGTTGAGTGCTTAACAGTTTGTGCCACTCAGGGACTCCAAATATTATTTGAGGAACTTGTTAGGAACATGTTTTTTCTTGTTATGAGGCATGCTTCCTTTCCTTTCTTTCTTTTTAAATTATATTATTATCTATCCTTGACCTCTTTAATCATAGTCAGAAAGTTGGTTTGGTTTGGAGTTTTTTTGTCTTACTTCAAGATAAGAAGCAAACATTTGGAGGATTTTATATTCCACCTTTGGTGTCTCAGAAGTTACTTTCCTTAAAGTTCCACTCATGGCCTTATCCAGCTCAGCTGGAACACCTGGAACTAATTTTAGGGTTGCCTGGATAAGCCCCACACTGGTATTTGAAGTTTGCGTCCTCCCTAGATTCAAGCCCATTTCACCACCTCTGAAGGTGAGTGCAGGCTGATATTAATTAACAGTGAGTTGATTCACTGGCATCTTCCAGTCATTAAAGTAAATATTTGGCTTAAAATAGCCCTCTTCCCACCTCAAATATCAAAGTTCTTGCCTATTCCCTTACTCTATCATGGTTGACTCACCAGCACTTTCATGGTATACGTGGCACAAGAAGAGATTTTGATTCTAAAAGGGAAGTGAAATACTCTTTAACATCTGCAAGCAAGACTGTTTGAACAGCAGGCCGGCCTTCAGTATGACTAGTTGTTTTTGTGTCCATTGTGGCGCTGACTCAGCATCAGTTAATAAACCCTGTCTAGAAGGTTGGATTTCTTTTGTTTAATTACCATCTTGGGGCTCTCCGAGAACACTTATAGAGGAATTCTGTGTTCAGTTTTATACCCCCAGCGCACATGCCATCTAAAAGTCGTGTTTTCTCTTGGTGCTAGCGTCCCTTCTGGCATAACATGCAATAACAGGTGGACCAGGCAGCAAGCGGGCTTTGTGTGTTACTCATGTCCCCTAGTGGGAATTGAATTGTTCTATACTATAGAGATTGTAGTAAGACTAGCCCCAGATTATCATTTCCTGGAAATAATCTTTTGTCTCCTACTCCCACTCCTGCAAAAAAAAAAAAAAATCCAAAAAAGTTTCTCAAGAAAGGAAGAAGAAATTAAAAAAATAAACAGGCATATTTTTATGATTGCGAGTTGGGATTTTGTTTTGCTTTGCTTTGTTTCTTCCTGTAAACAAATACTCAAATGTCCACTTCATTGTATGACTAAGTTGGTATCATTAGGTTGGGACTGGGTGTGTGTATGTGGGTGTGTGTGTGGGTGTGGGTGTGTGTGTATGCACACATGTATTTAAAATGTTAGAAAAGACATTGCAGCCTAAGGTGGAAGGAAAGATGATTTTCAAAACAACTGCATATATGAAGCAAGCAGGAAAAGTTGGAGACTTGTGTTTTCAGTGATCTAAATAGGAATTGTAATGGGTGCTGGCTATAAATGGACCCTTTGCATCATTGTTTCTCTGAATTAGAGGATTCCTTGCTGAAGGCACAAAACCATTGAAGGAAGTAAAGCATCTGGTTTGTTTTGTAATGAGAAGCAGGAATGCAAGGTCCACGCTCTTAATAATAAACAAACAGGACATTGTATGCCATCATCACAGGATGTCCTTCCTTCAACAGAGGACTGACTGGGGCTGGAGGAAAAGCCTTATGGGGCTCAGAACCCAATAATTACTGCCTCCGTCCGCCTTCCACTTGGAGTGATCAATTCAATATTCTCCTTAAGTGTGTGAAACGATTAATGCCCCATAGTTCACTTACACACGGCTCTGAAGTCTGGCTGTGGACTGTGAGAGGAGAGGAAAGGCAAAGTAATGTCAATCTGTAAGGCTACAGCGTTTTCCTATTCCCCTGTTTACTACATATTTTAGAGACGGAAGTTTTAGTTTCCCCAAGTTCGAGTGAATTTAGTTAGCAGGAGAAATAGAATCTTACCAGTTTTGGGGGGGAGCAGCATGTCTTTCATAGGCAATAGCCTGAGTCCTAGACAGCTACATTTGATTAAATTAGATGCTCAAAATATTTTAGTTTGCTCTTTCCAAGTAGGATCTTGTATAATCTGTAACTGGGAATTTGAACTGAGGGATTACAAAATTTGGGGTATTTTTTTTCTCTTTAAAGAATGCGCGCCCCTTTACCTCAGCAGGAAGGAGGGTAGTCTGTTGTATTTAGAATACAGTACAGCTCAAGTAAACGTTGAGGTTAAGTGCCTTCAAAGGGAAGTAGGAAGATTCCAGGAAAATGTTGAAATAACATTAATAATGAGAGGAAGCTCGGCAGCTCGCAGTTGGGGGAAAAGTCCTCGGCTCGGCTCGGCTCGGCTCGGCTCGGCTCCGCGCGGCTCTGCCGAGTCCAGGTGTGGCCACGCCCCCACTTCAGGCAGCTGGTAGGAGTGAATCAGACGGCGAGTGGCTAATCTGCAGCAGGGAGGGGAAAGGAGCCGCTGGTCCGGTTAACACAGGCTGAAAGTGCTGCCGTGACACTCGGCCCTCCAGTGTTGCGGAGAGGCAAGAGCGGCGCACGGCACCTGTCCGCCGAGAGCCGGAGCCGGCGCCTGGGCGGCCGTAGAAAAGGAGGGACCGCCGAGGTGCGCGTCAGTCCTGCTCAGCCCGGCGACAGGACGCGGGAAGCAATGTGGACTGTGTAGAGATGAGCGAGACTTATCTCCGATGTTGGATTTGTGCTTGGAAAAGCTTGTGGGTACGACCTTGGTAAGGAACTTGATTTTATTTTTATTGTGAAATTGATCTGAAAACTTTTTTTTTTTTTGCTAACCTAGTCGCAGTAGAAACAAATGCTTCTGGTTTACTGCACTTAGTGCTGTCCAACAACATTTATAAGACTTTTTCCTTATGAATCATTAACCCTTTCAGTTCTAGACGTATTTGTCAATTCATTGAAATTGCAGTTCCTGCCCACTCCCATCAAAGAAAGTAAATACTCCGGGTTGGTTTAATTTTTAAATTTTGCTTTTAAAGAAAAAAGCATTTATTTAAGATCATGACTGTACATGTTGGAACTAAATAATAACAAGCAAGTTTGTTTATATTTTAACTGAAGAAAAGACAGCTTTGCATCTGATGTATTTTTTAAAGGAGCATCCTATGTAGGGAAGAAGTGGAAGAATATAAAAGTCACCTTGAAGGACTTCCAGAGTCATGTTTACATTCTAACAAGTACACGTTCTTACCTGGAAATGATACTCGTATTCCTGCTTGTTACAAATATGTACATGAATGGGAAAACATCGCAGAAGTTGTTTATCTTTTTGAAAAGCACTTTTCCTGAGTGCAAGGGAGGAATTTGGGGAATATCCTTATCAATTTTCAAGTGGAAGTGGAGCTTGTCCTCTGAGCCTTCTAGATTTTTTATAACTTTAGCTACCGTAAACTGTAGCACATCAGTGACTTCTGGGAATTTGTATACTTTCAGATTTAAATGGAAAGTGCTATTTGTAGCCGAGGGCTCCTCAAGGAATTCTCTCAAGGGAATTCTATTGAACAGTTTTATGTTTTGTTTTTGCTTTTTTCAGTTTGGCGTGAGATGCCCACAAGTCAAAGGAAACGGCAAGCTGTTTTCCCCCTTCACCCATTTCTCCTCTAAATGTTCTTCTGGTCCAAGCAATTTCTGAAAGGCTGCGGCTCAGTGATGCTGGCAGGATGCAGCCTTTTTCAGTCTTCCATGTGAGAGGATGAAAGAGAGAGCGCGCAGCAGAAGGGGGGCCAGTTGTTTTGAAAGTTGTTTTGTGTTGGGAGCTGGTGGGAAAGTTCAGTCTTCCCCATTTGGAAAAGGCAGGCTGGGTTCCGCTCCTGCACCACACGCGCTTTCCATTTTTAGCTTCATTCAGAGGCAGACAGAGCTCCTTCCTCTTCCTCTCCTTGTTTGTGACACTTTTCTGAGGCAGCTTTTCCACAACGCTGAGGGTCTGGCGGCCATGACCCCAGGCGTTCTTGGACATAGGACTGAGTGCCCACAACATTTTTCTGCCGTGAGAGGTAAAGCCAAGGATTCTTTGGAGGTGGTTTTTTTCTTCCTCCAGTAAGGTTGCCACTTTTTTTTTTTTTAACTAAAGAGTAGCATTTAAAAACTTTGCCTCTTCAAGGCAGTCGACTTCATACGGCTTTTTGGCTCTTACTCAACTCTACCAAGCACTCTGCATCTGCTTTTAAAGTGTTCAGACTACTGTATTAGTCATAGCCTTTCAGAGGGAGCCACAGAAACAGCAGGACAATGGGGATTAAAGGCCTTTCCTTCTCTTCCAGGCTGCCCCGAAGTGTAGCTCCAACGCTGTGAGGATTCAAGGGTTGGCAGAGGGGACCATGAAAATGGACATGGAGGACGCAGATATGACTCTGTGGACAGAGGCCGAGTTTGAAGAGAAGTGTACATACATTGTGAACGACCACCCCTGGGATTCTGGCATCGACGGAGGAACTTCAGTTCAGGCAGAGGCATCCTTGCCTAGGAATCTGCTTTTCAAATATGCCACCAGCAGCAAAGAGGTAAGCCTCTGATTTTTTGCCAGAGAAGATTGGCACCTGACGCCAAATCTCCCTACTTACCCGTGACATCTATCTGTGAGAATCTCTAAGTATCAGTAAATAATCGATCATTCAATTCACTTCTCTCATTGCTTTCTTTTTCCCTAAGCTAATTCCGTCTCGCTTCTGCCAGCCTGCAACTCTTCCATACTAATTAGTAAACAGTTAAGTCTTTTGGCAATTTGACACCCGACTTTGCAGCATGGGGTGGGTGAATAGTCAGTGAGCTCAGAGAAAGCAGCTAGCGGCTCTGGACCCACTGCCCTGAGTACCTCTCTTGTTCAGTAGCTTTTCAGGGCGAAAACTTTTTCTTAGAGAAAGAGTTTTTAATATTTCTTTTGTCTCCCTTTGGTCATTAGATGGCTTTATTCTTTTAACGAGCCGGCTTTATTAGCTGGGTTTCTAAAATTATTCTCAAAACCTTGATGTGTTTATGAACCAGAGTGATGGTATAAACCGAGAAGAGGTTCATGTAAAAGTGTCCTCTCTTAGGATGACTTAAGAGCTAACCACTGTTTATCTGTGGCATCTCCTTGGCTCTGGCTGGGCTGGCAGTCCGATTCCTTATTGGACTCTGAAGCGGGTACACTCTTTGTTGTTTCAGAAGAGGCTGAAAAATCCGAGCTTGGAATGAGCAACTGATTTTTGTTTATCCTTTTATATAACAATTATAGCTAGGCGTGATATTTAGCTGTGAAATAGCTTGCAGAACCACTTCTTGTTTTGAGAATTCGGCTACTGCAGTTGCTCTCACCAGTTTGCACCAATCGACCCCTCTACTGACTTCGCACCACCACCACAGATCACTGTCAATTATATTACTGCCTTCAGAAAGTAGTGAAAAGGGGACCCTTGGCTGCAGGAATCCAGAGTTTGCTACTGGGACTATTTATTACAACTACCTCAAATCACTTCCCCTTTCCCTAAGGAACAGTATATGAAGGAGTTGAGAACCTGTTTGGGAAAAGCTTTGTATCTTTCCTGTTTGTGTCTGAGTTCAGTGTTTTTGGTGAGGGGGAGACACAGCAGTCTAAAATTAAATAGAGCCACTCTGCGTTGAGTTTCATTAAAGCTCAACCTTTTTTTTTTTTTTTTGCTGCTGGGAAAGTAGAGGTAGATTTTATAAAGGGCAAAATTTAAACTGTAGTCATACATTAACGTTACCAAAAATTTAACCCCAGAGGTTGGCCTTAGTTATACCTCTTACTGAAAGTCACTCTGTTCTCAATAGAAAGTCTCATAATATGTGGCCCGTGGAATCAGTGTTGGATTTGTTTTTTGGGTATATAAGGTTTGGCTATGGCTTTAAAAGGTGGAGTTTGTTTTTTCCCCATATCAAATTTGACCAAATATTGGTTTGTTCCCAGGGTTAATTTGTATTGTCCTGCACTGTCCAGACCACTGGGACTGAAATAAAGATCTCTATTCTGTGGATCATCTTTGCCTTTTAATTCTGTACTGTCGTTGTCCTCAGTTTAGCTCTGAGCTTAAGAGTTTTTCAGTTTCCATTATTCTACTTAGAATTATAGCTAAGTCAAGGAATGTTCTTAGATCATTTAGTTCAAGGCATATGGTTAGAGCCAGAGTCGGGACTGGGAGCAAAGTTCTGACTTCCTCAGCCAGTGCTTTTTGATTATGCTACACTGGCCCCTCTGGGTGTCACTGTGGTTTTATTTATCGTCTTAACATATTTCAGAGCGATACTTTATTAAGCTTATTTGTATTTTTCTCTGAACTTGTAACTCTCTATTTCAGTATGTTAAGCAACCAAAAAACATTCAGTGCCCATGTTCCTAAAGGGGGGTCCTTCAAAACTAACCTAGGAGTTCAGGAGTCTCTTACTCTATTTTCCCCTATTTTCTTTAACTGAATCATTTGAATAAGACAGTATATTTTCAGTCCCTAATCATAAAAGCAACCAGGAAACAAACTTATTTGCAATACTGTTTTAAGCTTATTACTCTGGAATTTGTACCTGTTTTTCTGTTCCTCCCTCCTTCCTTTTTGAACTTTGGGAAAGGACAGCTCCCTTTTTAAGTGGTTGAAAGAGAGGGTGAGGTTGAACTACTTAGGGTATGACAGCTGCAAACTAGTTCCAGAACAGAAACTTTTAGAGTTGATGAAATGTTTACATTATCATTATTCAGTTAGCCCTTTAAGTCCCACGAGCCGTGGAAATAGGAAAAAAAGCCTTTTTACATGTAGTTTTTATCTGACTGATTTATCTTGCCCTCCCTAAAATAGCAGGAGATGTTACATTATGTACTGTTCTGCTGACATACTGGGGATTTTTTTTTTAACAAGATCATTTTTCATTATGAATTTGTGCTATGTGTCAGCACCTTTTTTTTTTTTTTTTTTTTTTTGGTTTAAAAGCAAAACATACAAACTATATTTCTGATCTTCACCCTCATTTTTAGATTTGGTTTAGAATCATTTTGCACATTTAATGAAGCTGTTCTTACTTCCTATTTCCAGAACCCAAACCAAAGATAGACATACTATTCAAAACTTTTTCAAACTGATGGGTTATTCTTTTATGGGGTTTTTCCCCTTGTCCTCCTGAAATAATCTTCTATGAACACTTGAATGCAGAAAAATCAGTTTAGACGTTTATATTTTAGAAGCGGGAGCCTGTACAAGTTTCTGCCCTCAGCTGAGGTCACTTGTATTCAAGAGGCGCTGTGGCTCTGAGTCTGACCTCCCAGTGTCGGGTGGTGATAAACATCAGACTGATCATGGGGACTCAATGTCCATTTTGAATGAGGTCCATTATTAACTCAAGCCATCTGTAAAAAAAGTATCTTGCCATAACATGCAATTCTCTCTTCTTCATACTACCTTTTATTTGCTAGACGATATACTGCAGCATTACTACGTTTCCTTTAATATAAAAATAATTAAGGAGGAAACCTTCCAAAAACATCTCTGTTCACTCCACCCCTTTAAAAAAAAAATGGGATGAATTGCAGGCTGAAAGCCTTGGTCCACTACAGAGTACTAGTCATCTCAATGCAAATATCCTTATATTCAAAATAGAATTTTAATCGAATGAGTCACTTTTACAGGGTGGGATTAGGGGAAGGAGAGAGAGAGCTAGTAATTAAAATGATCTTAATGTAATTTGGGGTGAGGATGCTCATACCACATTAGACCTGGATAATGTTTGTGCTTAAAACCCACGGCTGTGGGTTGTTTGTTTGCATACTTCCCAAAGGAAGAATTTGCTTTAGCAACAAAAAATTCTCCTTGCTACGGGACTTTCATTCAGCACCCCACTTAATGCGTCCTAAGCTGTAAAATCTACTTCATTTTGTAAAAATGAAAACGAGCCCAGTAAGCCCTGTTTTTTGTTTGGAAGCCACAGATGTTTGGGTGTCTCTGTAACCGAGGCCATTGACAGAGACAGATCTGTCCAAGTGGCAGAGGGTTCGGCTCTGCACATAAAGCATGGCGGAAGGGCTTCTGTGGGGGCAAGTGAAACAAGGAAATGTTGAAGCCCAGCGTCCTCAAACTGTTTATAGAAGGCACACAGCAGCCTGTCCCCAGCCGTGATTCTTTAGGACCCTGGTCAGTTCCACCAAAGTTTCCTTCTTAAGTTAGGTGAACACAGTCTTTTTTAGCACTGTGAAATGCAAGGCACACACCAGGTTCCTTTGTAACATTAGCTTGCTCCAATAATAGAGTGTTGTCAGCAATGGGTTACGCAGCAGATAGGGTTGGCCAAGATAGAAACCCATCTAGATCTTTCCAGGCCCAGAGAAGAGCTCTGACTTGGTCTTTCTCTTCCCATTAAAAACAGCCCGGGTTCCTATCTCCCTACCAAATTTAACCTGTGACAAGCATCATAATCTTAGATTTATGGTTTTTGTGTCCTCTTTGAATAATGCCTCAGACTTGGATTTGAGATGAAGGATTTTATTGTGTATTAAGAGTGCTGGGCTAGGAATGGATATAGATAGCATTATAAGGCACAAGATTCCCTCCAACCTCAAAATTTGATGATTTTGTGTTTATGTTTATATGTGTGGGCTTATCTTACACCGTATAGCTCTGCATATAACAGAAATATAAATATTAGGGTTCTGTCCCACTCCCGAAGAGAATCTAATGTTGAGGCTCTTTTATTTGTTTGGGATTCTAGCATTTTCATAGACCTTTCTTTTACCACAGACCCTCCTTTTTTTATTGTACTCACGTCTTGACTGCTGCATTGGATTTGTAAAGTTGTAGATGGCAAGAACTACTTCCAGTACAGCTTTATATCGTCCCCAGTGACTTGCCCATAGTTGTGCTCAAATATTTGTAGGGTGACCATGTCCTCCCAAATTCCTTTGTTGGATCAAGATCCTATTTGACTTCTTTTTGGCCACGAGAAAATGTTGTGTTTTCTTAGTGTAAGATTGATAGCTAAAAACCAAGAGGCCCGTTCTGGTAAAAAAAAAAAAAAAAAAAAAAAAAGCACTTCGGAAGAAAACCCCTGACCTCAATGTAATGCTACTTGTTGGTAATCAAGCTCTGACTCCCAAGACACTGTCTGCAGGAGACTATAATTTAAAACAAAGTTGATGAACCAGTTGAGTACCTTTCTTAAAATTAATGCTTCGAAGTGGATATGTTGAAAATATCAACTGCTAATTATTGGCTGACCAACAAATGGCATTATTTGTTTTTCCTTTTGTCATTTTAATGTTATAGAATACTCACTCAAATATGAATGCCAAATAATTTGCATGTCATAGAAGTCAATTCCATGAATTGTCGAAATTAATTAGGTTCAATAATAATATATCTAAACACTGAGCCTTTGAATAAGTAAGTCTGCATAAGCTTTAAATATAGATTTTTATCTCAAAACTGCTCTGAAAAACTCCCCTTCCCAATAGTTATACTGCCAACAAATACCAATGATGACGGACTATTATTGAAAGGGCAGATAGATGTAAATGAAGGCAGAGGAGGAGGATGAAATGAACATCTGCTTTTTTCAGCTCTCTGCCAGAAATTTATAAAGGACCAAAAATAACACTCTAGCCCACCAACCTTGTTTCAACTTGTGTTAGGTGTAGGAAATTTTTTCTTTTTTTTCTCTTTCCAGTCTGGGTATGCTCCGTTGACTTGTATACTGTATTGAATACTAAATTGTTAACTAAAAAAAAAAACTTTGATAAGAAATTTACATGAAAAAGACTGGTCTATCACAGCCATGTAGGTGTGCTTATTCCATAATAATTTAAGCAGAGATTTAAATTCTTAGTGAGAGTTAATGAGATATCAGTGTATTTAATAACTAAAATCTTAACATTTCTCTATGAGCAATTTGTGAAAATGTATTGATTCATATATTTGGATCTACCGTCTCGGGAAGAAATACATAGAAACCAGCAGGAATAATGAAAAGCTGGAAAAAAATTATTATCTCCCCTCCACCCCCAGTTCATGTTAGTAAGTTATTCAGTAAGTAATTGGTAGGCTGATTTTTGAATGAGAAGAAAATAAAAATGGAAAAGTGAGTGAATAAACCAAAACAAAACTGTAACTGCAAAATGTTGTAAAGAACTGCTTCACAGAGGAGTTCTTTTGAGTAGTGATGAATTGCTTCCTGATTTGTGGTTGGTGATTTTTAACCCCCCCCCCCGCCCCCCAAAAGAAATTTACGATCAAGGAGGAACTGGCATAGTTAACGTGTTTCTTTAGCAAGGCGCTACAAAGTCAAATGTGTGATACATACAGTCTGAGAAGGTCATTTCCTCAGATCTTAGAACCCACAGCTCTTAGAACCTACAACACTCCTCAGTATAAATTCTATTTCAAAGGAGGGCTTTTGACCACTGCTGAGTAGAAGATACTAGAGAAGAACAAAGTTACTTGGAAGATCTTTCTTCTATTAAAGAGAACTATGAAAAAAACCTCATTATGAATGAAAAAAAAAAGAAAAAAACAATGTGTTTGGTTTCTGGTTCCTTAGGCCTTGTGGAAAAACCAAAGAACATTATTTTGGTTTCTGAGGTTAAAACTATTTTATTTCCCTCAAGCACACAGTGTTTATGGTTTGAGGGAGAAGGAGAAATGGGAAACTAGGAGCAGCCTGAAATGGTCTACTCTTGATCATCTAATTCATCCTGCAGTATCTGATTCTCATTCTAAAACAGTGGTTATCTGCTCTGTTCTTCTAGTGTTTAAAAAGAAAACAAAAAATAATTTTTTTTTAAGTAAAAATACAAGCCCCTTAGGTACTGGAGAAGAGTTCTCTAGACTATTTGAATGCTTGGTTGAGTATTTGCTTATGATCTCGAGTTTAAAAGAGGGTCTCCCTTTAAGGTGAAGCTGTTATTAATTAGGTAGGCCCCATTAATGTCTGCTGTCTGTATCGTAATTTTGTGCTTGTTTGGTTGTATTAACCAAAAAAAAAACCCCAAGCCTGTTGCTGTCAAGTCGATTCTGACTCATAGTATTACCACTTAACAATTCAATTGGTTGAAATAAAAAAGATTGGTTAACATTTTACAGTTAAAGTAACTGCATATGTGTTACCCTCTTTAGGTTATTGGAGTGGTGAGTAAAGAATACATACCAAAGGGAACACGTTTTGGACCACTAATAGGTGAAATCTACACCAGTGATACTGTTCCCAAGAACGCAAACAGGAAATATTTCTGGCGGGTAAGTACGGAAAATTTTTCCAGATTCATTAAGTATTAGGGGAAAAATGGAGCTAAAAGAGCTGGGTCAGTTCCTTCTTCAACCTATCCCGAGAAATGCTGGGGCTCACCCACAAGTATTCAGGGAATTCTGAGCCAAGAATTGGTTAAATTTGTGGCTCTGGAAACATAGCATATCAGTGGTTAATGATGCAGATATGGACTCTATGTGAATCTTAATTTTTGCAACTCATTAGAGCTTTGTGATGAAAGGAAACAGTTTGCTGCTGGCTTCAAGGGTAGGTTCATTTGCATTTCTCTGCAAGGAAGTAGTAATGAGTCACCCAGCCTTAGATCTCACCCCTTCTTGATTTCTTGCTGAGTTAACTTTAATTGAATGCAAGAGTTATCATAAATGAATTGTCTTGAAAATAAATGCCATTAAGAAAGGATGAGTAGAAAATGGGGCTTAGGGAAGATAGAGCTTAGGAAATGGAAAAAGGACCACAGGACTAGTCCTATAGAAATGAGTCTGTACTGGCAAACTATTGGATTTGACAGTATGTAGATTACTCTATAGCACAAGGAAAATGCTTACAAACATGTGAGATGATAAGTTTTCCTGTAACATCCAGTTAACAGACCTGGCCAATACAATTTCCTTTGGAATATCAGGGTTAGAAAGGACTCCAGAGGTGAACGAATGAGATGAAATCCGTGGAAAAAAAGACCTTGGATTAGGAGTGAACAAAGAGAAGTCAGGCTGTTTTCTCCCTTCCCAGCATATCTTTCCAAGATGTTCCCTTTCTTCATGTAGAAAATAAAGATATGCTTACTAAATTTAAAAACAAAAGTTACTTTTATACATACTTACAGAAAATGTACATGAATAATGGGGAACGGTTATTTAAATTCTTTTAAGAAATGTCTGCATGATAACAACAAGAATTAGATGATATTTACCTTGGCCAGTATTTTTGCCTAGAACACGTGTCTTTTGTCGCATCGTCATTATAAAAGACTTCTGTTGGGGAATCACTCAGAAGCTCTTCCTAAGAAACAAGTTGTTGTTTTTTTTTTAATCCAGAAAGTTTTGTGTTTTTAGAAATTTATTTTACTGTTTTTCAAGCAAAAGACAGCCATTACATATTCACTAAAAATTGAGTGCTCACAAGTTCTATTTAATAATTACTCATGCTTAAAATATATTTACATGATTTTTAATGGGGAAAATGTCAGTGACTGCATTTTTGCCTTTATTGCCAATAAATTCTCAGAAGTCAGCCATTAAAAAAAATTAAAAAAGAAAAAACCCGTTGCCATCTATTCCGAGTCATAGTGACCCTACAGGACAGAGTAGAACTACCCCATGGGATTTCCAAGGAGGGGCTGGTGGATTTGAACTGCCGATGTTTTGGTTAGCAGCCAAGCTCTTAACCACTGTGCCACCAGGGAGGTGTAAATTCTTGGAGTCAAAGGTCTAAATTAAAGACATCCTAAGTCTCTTTAATTCATGGTCATTTTGAAAAAGGAAACCCTGGTGGCACAGTGGTTAAGGAGCTACAGCTGCTAACCAAAAGGTCGGCAGTTCAAATCTACCAGCAGCTCCTTGGAAACCCTATGGGGCAGTTCTGCTGTGTCTTATAGGGTCGCTATGAGTCGGAATCAACTTGATGGCAACGGGTTTGGTTTTTTGGATTTTTTTGAAAAAAGGCAAAAAACACATAAGACCCTTCCATTACTGTCACAGTTCCCTCGTTCATTATAAAGATTCAGGATAAGGAACTGAAAGAATTTCCTTAGGAGGGTTTATTTGAATCAGCCTTTCACATGCAAGAAATATTGTAGGAGATATCATCCCACATGTTGTTAAAAAGCATCCTGATTTTGCTGGCAGGAATATGAACATCTGTTGTGTGGAAAGAAAAAGTTTCATGCAAATTACACAGTCAAAGGAGAGAGAAGGGATGTTCAAGTTGAGAAACCAGGGACACTTTCTTGTAACTGTACTATGAGTCAGCACATTTTTAATCTTCTAGATAATATATGGAAATGTAGTGAGGTGATAGGGAACAGCGTTCATTTTACTTTTGCATTATTTTATTTTCTTGTGGGCGTGCATACGTGTAGCTTCATGGCATCGACGTTTCTGGTTTTAAATGAGGATACAGTAAATTGTAATCTGTGGAAGGCTGACTGGAAGCAGCAAACCCGTAGCTTTAGAAAGCAGCTTCCGCCCCAGCGAAGAGTGCAAGAGCGATGGAACCCCATGTTCCTGGAAGTTTGCACATCAGAGTAAACAAACTTGAAAACCCCTCTTGATAGCAGAATTCACCCAGCCTTGTTCCATTTTCTCTTAACAAAACACACCGCAAAAGCTCTCACAAGCTGCTTTGATGAAGCCACATGTATTTCCCCCTTCACAATTTACAGGAAGTTACTCTTAAAAGAAAGTGATTCTGGTGTTTACCGCCTGTGTTAAAGGGACAGAGTTCCTTTTTATTTTTGATAACGTTTCAGTGAAACATAGAAACAAGTTATAGACCAACATAGATGGTGTGTGAGTAAGAACAAAGCAAAAACCTGCTGTCCTGTTAGAGCAAAATTTCTGCTACAAACAGTATCCTACTACTTGGAGACTTCAAGTCGAAGATGACTGGGTATTGATTGTATAAGAAAATCTCATAAGTCTAAAGAAAAGGCGATACCTCTTAAAAAGAGAGAGAGAGAGAGAAACTTTCTGTGGAGAAGGATAAGGAGTGTCTAAAAGTAGATTCGGTAAGAGTGTATATTTTAATTTGTCCTCTTCTTACCTTGGCCTTTTCACCCAGTGTCTTTAGGGCAAACTCTGAATTTTTCATTATTCCTTGCCTTCAAAGAACAACATACTTTCTTGTTGTTTTTCCAAAAACACACACCTATGGCTCTGTGTGTGTTTTAGCCAACCTCCTCAGAGATAAGGGGGTTCCTTCTCCCCTTTGGCTTGAAAGAAAAGTGCAGGGCTGAACATGTTTATCAAGAGGAAAAGTGACTTCTCAGTAGACTGTCGAATTCTGGCTTCTGTCCCGGTGTTCACTTTGTTACGGCAGGTGAAGTTCACCTTTGCCCCACCCAGTGTTTCCACAAAAAAGGCAAGGTTCCAAGTATTCATATAAACAAGTGTTACTTTAGGACTTGGAGGGTTGGGGGTGGAGGATGTTTGCATAGTTTAAGCCTTGGGCGGGGGTGTAGGAAACGGCAAGTACAGAGGCCATAGAAAAACTGAGAGACTCAGTTTGACGCAGTCAGTCGTCTTAGTCTTACCCAGGTGACTCAAAGCATTAAAAATCAGCATAGTCGGAACTGAAGTTAGTAGCATCGCCCATTTGCCATTCACCGCTGTAGCAAAATAATACTCTCTGGTGGTTTAATCAGCCAGAGGCAGCTCCTTAAATGAAATTTTGTGTTTCATTCTTCTGCTATTTTTCCCGAACGTGAAAAGACGATAAAACTGAAATGGAAAAGGTAACTGACAAAGTGTGCCTTAACTGTAACCACCCTTATTTCTGCTGATTCAAGACTATGCTGGCTAAATGGATTTGATTATTTTTCTAACTAGGCAATAGGGGACCAGAAATCACACATGGTACTTGCTGTGTTTATTCTTAGAGGTGCTGGGGGAAGCTTTCCACTGCTTTGGGGCTGACTTCCTTTTACATGTCTGTCTTCTCTTTTGGACAGATCTATTCCAGGGGGGAGCTTCACCACTTCATCGATGGCTTTAATGAGGAGAAAAGCAACTGGATGCGCTATGTGAATCCTGCGCATTCTGCCCGGGAGCAAAACCTGGCTGCGTGTCAGAACGGGATGAACATCTACTTCTACACCATTAAGCCCATCCCTGCCAACCAGGAACTTCTTGTGTGGTATTGTCGGGACTTTGCAGAAAGGCTTCACTACCCTTATCCCGGAGAGCTGACAATGATGAATCTCAGTAAGTGGATTACAGAACAAAAAAATTAAAAAATGCCAGTAATGTTAGTTCTGTCCATATGAGCTAATAACATGTTGTTTAATTATACAGCTTCATCATCTCTTGGGCTACAGTAGGTGGCTTAAACTAGTGACTAGGAAGAGGAAATCTTTGTTTTTTTTTTCAGTTCCTATTCCCTATTATGAAACTTGATCATTAGAAAAGAAATTAAGAGCTGCTTTGAGTGTTTAATTCAGAAAGTTACAGAAAGAAATAAATGTCTAATTCTAATGTGGAAGGGTGGGAAATACATAAGGATTGGTTCTGACATGCTGAGTATGCAGATAATAGCCCCTTATTTGTGGTAATTTGTTGGGCTTAAAACATGCATTAAAATAATGTGGAGATGTGCGTTTGGTTATCAAGTTATACTCTGATGTGGAACACTGTAAGATTGTTCCTAGAAAAAGTCTCAGTCATGATTTCTCAAATATTATTCTAAATGGATAACCTTAAAGATTTCATATCTTCATTTCCTTCCTTATGGTAAAAACCTAATTATCTGATCTCTTAATCAGTATTACAGTAGCTGCCAATCACTTTATCTTCATAAATTCTCAGTTCCATAGCTTTTACTTTCTTATTTGGTGAAAATTACTGTCATGACCTCTCTTTGCAAATGTCTGGTTCATTTTAGTCATTCTCAAGTACTCTATGAATGATTTAGGAATTCCCATAAAATCCTAACCTCTGTTGTTACCTTGGTTGTATATTCTTGGTTATATAGCAGTTTTTAAAAAATTAGTTCTTTTTTGGTTTAAAAATTAAAACTGAATGCAGATTTTTTGGTAACTTTTTGTCTTGCTGTAACTTCAAACTTAAAGAAAAGTACTATTCCTTGTACAAGAATAGTACAAAGAATTCCCATATACTGTTTATCTGCATTCACCAGTATGCTGTCTAATTTGCTTTATCTGAAGGTTAAATTGTTTTAGTTCACATTTTTACCCTTGAGACATTTGGAATAAATATCAGTTTTAATATAAATTGGAATTTTGACTTAGACTTTAGGACCAATTAAAAAACCGATTACTTATCCTAGTTGCATATAATCCACCTCTACAGCTATTTGGTGTTCATCTGCACTGTCAGACTTACTTGATCTCTCGGCAATTGTGTATTTGCAGTTTTCTGAAAATCTGGGACTATAAAAGCATGAGCACCTCCCCCACAGGGTTGCCTTTTAAGCATTCCACCGTTTGGTTCTGTGAGTTTTTGTGTTCATGGTCCTGTAAGGTAACACACACATGCACACACACAGGGCACCCTTGAGCTTCAGGAAAGGATCTTAGAGCGCTTAGAAACAAGCTGGCTTCCAAAATGAGCATAATGGGTATAATCAAGTTCTGACCAAAGGTGGTAGTTCTTTCTTTCATCTCTCTTCAGCGCTCTGGTGATTGATTCTCTCTGTCATATCTCTCATGTGGAGCACCCCAGGAGCCTTTCAGATATTTTGGCCATCTGTACGTGCCAGGCCCAGTGCTAAGAAAAAACAAACCAAACCCATTGCTGTCAAGTGAGTTCTGACTCATAGTGACCCTATAGAACAGAGTAGAACTGCCTCATAGGGTTTCCAAAGAGCGGCTGGTAGATTCGAACTGCCGACCTTTTGGTTAGCAGCCGAGCTCTTAACCGCTGTGCGGCCAGGGCTCCCTAGTACTAAGACTTGGTGATGAAAGACATAGACACACAGTCACATTTTCATGGAATTTATATTCCAGCAGGGCATCTCACAGGAAGATCTGCTGATTCCTCCTAACCTTCTTAGCATAGCAAGCCACTTCCTCTGGAGGGTCTCCTTACATTCCTTGAGCTTAATCATTCATGGAGTCAGAGAAAGTCTTTAATTTTTTTTTTTTCTTTTAAAACAGTAACTCTATTTGAGGTGACCCAGCCCAGTGACTTTGCACCAAGCATGATGAAGCTTTGTCACGTACTTCCCCCACCCTCTGTCAATCACAAAATATTTTAAAGTCCTTGCATTTTTATTCTCCGATGAAAGGCTTTGCACAGTATTTTAAGTTTCAAATGCGTATTCTTTGTGTTGAGAAACAACTTTCATCTATACTATGAAATGACACGTTTGTTTCCTCATATATCCCGTTTCTTTTATGCAGAATCTTTTCTTTAATTGCTATAAAATGATGGCTGAACATTTTCCCTAACCCTTTACTCCTCCAGTAGTCCTAGTGAAGAACAGAGTTAACAATAGCCAGTCACATTCAGACAAGACTCCTGCTGCCAGTTGAGAAACCAGTTGTCTTAGGTGTGGCAACTGATGATTGAGACTCTGATCAGGAAAATTTCCACTATTTCATCAGGTCTAATAGGTAGATTGTGTCTCTAAATGAGTTGTGTTGGGTTTCCATGCTTAAAGCATAATGGAGTTCAGAGCCAGAATCTCCATGAGGGCTTGGATGGCAGTGTTGGCTCAACTGCTTTTAAGTTTTGAGGAAAAGGGATTTGAAGTAAACTAAGATAAGGAAGAGTAACTACCAGAGATCACCAATTCTGAATGGCAGATTTAAAGAACAAAACAAATTGAAAGAAAAAAAAAGGGAGCAAGAACTATTAAATTAAATCCCTACTCCTCCCAATTATTTTTCTATCTATCTATCTAGCCCATCTAGAAAACAGTTGACCAAATTATAGACTTCTAAATGTTAATCTGCTTTCTCAGTTTCAGTTGAAAACAGGCTTTGTTTTGCCTACTGCAGAACTTCTAGGTTCTTTCTTGTAGTCTTGGGGGTTCTTATTATAGATCGAAAATGTGAGTCGGCATAATTAAGCCATTCAAAGCCTTCAGAAGCAGTTCACTCTTGAAATGACTCCGTCCGCCTACAGCCATTTAAGATTTAAGAACAAAAACAGATCTTGATTTTCTTTTTTCATGTTAACTCAAGCTGCTGCTGAGTGGGAGAGTCAGAAATGACACCCGCTCCACTGATTACTCAGCTGCTGTTTGAGGGATGATTTTTGAAAATGTACCTTCATATAGACTCCCTGCGTACCACCTGTAGAGATCTCAGAGAGGGTAACATTCCCCTCTGGATATTGTTTTAGAATAAGATATCAATCTGTTTCTCTTTCTGAAGTCATAAGAAATGGCAAACATTTATTGTGGATTTGCTATGTGACAGGTTCTTTTCTAAATATTTTTGCACAGAAAATTATAAATCCCAACTTTTTTGTTTGCTGGCCCTATCGTTAGTTTTGTTTCAGTTCTGTAATCTAACTTGATTAATGTGCTTAATAAGACCACCTTCCTGAATATGAGGTACAGTGCTGGGTATGGGCTTAAATTTTTATGCTTGAGGCTTTATTATGTTGAATTTTAGAATGAAGGGAGTATCGAAGCCACTGGGAAAAAAATTATGAGACTTAATAAATGTAATTTGCTGTCTAAAAATGGCAGCAAATTATGAGTAAAATTTCTGTATTTCATGTTATTAAGGTGGCTTTTTTTTTTTTCCCCCTTAGTTTGGGCTTATGTGGAGGATACCTCCAAATCACTCTTTTTCACCTTCGTAAAATTCTTCCTGTGGCTGTGAGATGCCTCGCCTATCAGTTTTCCAGCTTAGTTGTCTCTCTCTTCCTTTACCATTTTAGCTTTAAAAAACAAAAGTGACAATTTGAACTTCCTGCCTGCTGGGCTTCACTGAAAGACTGATATTGGCCTGATAAGGTGATATTTATTTTGCTTTAGTGGCTTCAGAAATCTCTCTCCGTCAACAATCTTTCCATCGCTCCCCCCCACCCCCCCACCCCAGCATCTTGCCTGATAGTGTCGTTCTCCCTGTTTATTCTGGGGCTGCTGGCTTGCCAAGGAGTAACTGATAACAGCTAGCAGGAGATAACATTCTCTGAGGAGCTCTCAAACTGGAATCGAATCCCTCGAGCCTGTCAGCCAAGAGAATGGATTTGGAGAGTTCAGAATCTGGAGTTCCACATAGTTAATTTCTAGACCTATCAGATATCAAGCCTGGAGTTCTTTCTCAGTTAAAGCAAGCAGGGACATTTTAAGACGATGGATGACACTTGACAAAAGCTTCAGCACTATGCCCGGAACCTGTCCTCTGCTAACACTGAGGCCAAGAGCACTGCTGCCTCTCAAGGCATCCACATACACCAGCTTTCTGGTTTGACTGGTGGCCCTCCAATAACCAGAGCTCAAACTAAGCATCATATGTTTTACTTTTGATTTCCAGGGAATGCTGAGCAGGGAGTTTTTGGTTTTTCCCTGCTCTGACTGGTATTTTCCTGAAGGCATCTTCATTCACAGAAGTTAAGGATTTGCTCAGTGTGTTTACGGGGACAGAGCTGGCGGTGGCATGGGTAGTCTGGGACTGTTCCTCCTCATTGCTACTGTTACTGAGCAGTATATTTACCAAATAATCGTATACCTTCTTTTGGAGTAAATGCTTTCATCTTAACTGCTTCTGTTTTCTTTGGTGTGCTGTAAGTAATTGAACTCGTCGGGGAAGTGCCTGTTGTGGTTTGGCAGAGGTGACTGTGTCACGCCTTGTGATTCCAGGGGACAGCCTTGCTGGGAGCCTGGTTCTACCGGACCAAGCTTTGGAGAGATTCTTGGGTTGTCGGCAAATGGAGAGTAAGGGGTGGTATCTGCGTTGCTCATCTGCCTGTTAGGCGTAGGCAGTTTGAACAGGGTTTTATCAAATTCGTATTAAACAAGAATCGAGGTGAAAATTGATGACTGCTTATTACTTGAAATGACTCTTAATCTCTCACATCTAGCTCACAGGGTGTGCTGATTTCCTTTAGGTGAACCGTGAACATCAGAATGACTCTATATTAACCTCTGACACCCCCTTGCCCCAGCCCCAGTATTTTCCACCCCATTTTAATGGAAGCTGTCTGTGCAAGCTTGAACAGCACTTTTCTATCATCAGGTTTTTACCAGTGGAAACAAAATGATCCAGACGGTGCTCTTCCTTTGACAGACACTGCCATTATCTCTGTTTTGCTGAGAGGGAAAGGTAGCAGCAGTTTGTAGTGAGTGGCACAGACTCTAGAATGAGCGGGAGTTGAGGGAGCAGGTGTCTAACTCATGTCGCCAGTTGGTGCTCTTGTTTTCTCAAGAAGAGAGAGCAACTCTGGCAATTTTACTTCAGTTCTCTATATCCCTTTGAGTAATCACCCTCTCTTCTTCGTTTCAGCACAAACACAGAACAATCCAAAGCAACCGAGCACTGAGAAAAGTGAACTTTGCCCTAAAAATGTCCCAAAGAGAGAGTACAGTGTGAAAGAAATCCTAAAATTGGACTCCAGCTCCTCCAAAGGAAGGGACTTGTACCATTCCAACGTTTCATCCCTCACTTCAGAAAAGGACATGGATGACTTCAGGAAAGATGGTAGCCCCGAAATGCCCTTCTATCCTCGAGTTGTTTACCCAATCCGAGCCCCTCTACCAGAAGACTTTTTGAAAGCGTCCCTAGCCTATAGGATGGAGAGACCGACTTACATTACTCACTCCCCTATTCAGTCCTCCACAACTCCAAGTCCCTCAGCAAGAAGCAGCCCTGACCAAAGCCTGAAAAGTTCCAGTCCTCACAGCAGCCCGGGGAATACCGTGTCACCTCTGGCTCCTGGCTGTCAAGAACATCGGGACTCGTACCCTTACTTGAATGCACCCTATGGCACAGAAGGCTTGGGCTCTTACCCTGGATACGCACCTCCCCCCCACCTCCCACCAGCTTTCATCCCCTCTTACAGTGCCCACTACCCCAAGTTCCTTTTACCCCCGTATGGCATAAATTGTAATGGCCTGAGTGCTATGAGTAACGTAAACGGCATCAACAACTTTGGCCTCTTCCCGAGGTTGTACCCTGTCTACAGTAACCTCCTGAGTGGCGGCAACCTGCCTCACCCCACACTCAACCCCGCTTCTCTCCCAAGCTCGCTGCCCTCGGAAGGAGCCCGGAGGTTGCTTCAGCCAGAACATCCCAGAGATGTGCTTGTCCCGGCGCCTCACAGTGCCTTTTCCCTCACCGGGGCTGCCGCCAGCATGAAGGACAAGGCATGTAGCCCCACGAGCGGGTCTCCAACAGCGGGCACAGCCGCCACGTCAGAGCACGTGGTACAACCCAAAGCTACCTCAGCAGCCATGGCAGCCCCCAGCAGCGATGAAGCCATGAATCTCATTAAGAACAAAAGAAACATGACTGGCTATAAGACACTTCCCTATCCACTGAAGAAGCAGAATGGCAAGATTAAGTATGAATGCAACGTTTGCGCCAAGACTTTTGGCCAGCTCTCAAATCTGAAGGTAAGCCTTGAGATAGAGCAGTCAGCTGTCTGCTAGTATCTGTGCGTGTGTGTGTGTGCACTCTCATGTCTATTTAGCTCACTCTCCACAAGTCATAAATTGCATTTTCAGCAGTATGAGACCTAGTGAATGTGAGTTCTACTTTTGCCACTTCTAGCTGGGTAGCTTTGGACAAGTTACTGCCTGTCTCCTGAGTTTCTTCTGAATAAAAACGTGGGGTTTGGCCTACAAGATCAGTTTGAAGTCCCTGCTAGATGGGGTTCTCCATGAGTCAGAATCAACTCAATGGCAACTGGTGTGGTTTTTTCAAAAAACTTTTTAGCCTGTGATTTTTGTTTCTTTTGCTCAAACAAAACAAAGCACTCTGAAAATGGGACTACATTTGTTTTGGTTAAGACTGTCTTGATGCTTTTCTTAAGTTGTTTGCATCATGAATGCCTGAGTCTTTGACGGAAAACATTAGGTCTCAGAGCTGGTTCTAGAGCAGAACTAACACATGCACTTTCTTCCCAGGTCCACCTCCGAGTGCACAGTGGAGAACGGCCTTTCAAGTGTCAGACTTGCAACAAGGGCTTTACTCAGCTTGCCCACCTGCAGAAACACTACCTGGTACACACGGGAGAAAAGCCACATGAATGCCAGGTGGGCAGTGTTTTCTGGGTGAAACTTTGGACTTTTGTAGAATATATCTGTGGTGGTGCCCTCCCATGTCATGCAGCCCGTAGTGTAAACCAACACGGAGAATTCTGCCTTGCCCTGGGCTGAGGGCACTGTGGACCTCCCAGAGCTCTGTCTTTGCTGACGAGCGGAGATGATGACACAGCCAGCTTCCAGTGGGTGGAAAATGGCAGGCGAAATAAACACCACCTGATGTGCAGTATACCTACCTACATCGCCCTGTTTGCTTAATGCCACACCGTAGGTGCCACAGGGAGGCTTCTCACTGCCCAGGTTGCTGGGTGTTGATTTTTAAGCTTGCCCCTCCCATTGGCAACTTTTAATCTTCTGGTCTTCCTGTCTCCCTTGTCTGCCCTCTTCCCCACACTGCAGGTTTGCCACAAACGATTTAGCAGCACCAGCAATCTCAAAACCCACCTGCGCCTCCACTCGGGAGAGAAACCTTACCAGTGCAAGGTGTGCCCTGCCAAGTTCACCCAGTTTGTGCACCTGAAACTCCACAAGCGCCTACACACCCGGGAGCGGCCCCACAAGTGTGCCCAGTGCCACAAGAGCTACATCCACCTCTGCAGCCTCAAGGTCCACCTGAAGGGAAACTGCCCTGTGGCCCCAGCCACCGGGCTGCCCTTGGAGGACCTGACTCGCATCAACGAAGAGATTGAGAAGTTTGACATCAGTGACAATGCCGACCGGCTTGAGGACATGGAGGACAACATTGATGTGACCTCTGTGGTGGAGAAGGAAATTCTGGCCATGGTCAGAAAAGAGGAGGAAGACACTGGCCTCAAAGTTTCTTTGCAAAGAAACATGGGGAATGGACTCCTCTCCTCAGGGTGTAACCTTTATGAATCATCAGAGCCGGCCCTCATGAAGTTGCCTCACAGTCACCCACTACCTCTGGTACCTGTAAAGGTCAAACAAGAAACAGTTGAACCAATGGATCCTTAAGATTTTCAGAAAGTGAAAAGTGTTTTGTTTTAACTTATGACTTGGCGAGTCAGGGTGCCTGTAGCAAATTGCTTGTACATATTTCCAGTTCTGCGAAGCTCTCCTGACAGCAGATGTGAGGGAAACCTCACCTCTCTGGAATTAAAGAAGGAACTCCAAAGTTACTGAATTCTCAGGGCATAAACGAGGCAAAGACTATATATATATATATATATATATATGTATATATATGTATATATATATGTGTGTATGTATTATATATACTTATTTACACCCACATCAATATATTTGAACTTGTGTATTTTGAGTATGTGTGTGGATATTTTGCATAGCCTTCCCATTAATAAGACTATTGCCTAGCCATAATTATTTTTTCAATGATAATACTTCATAATTTATTATGCAATTTATCGTTCAGAAAGCAATAATTAAAAAAGTTTACAATGACTGGAAGAATTCCTTGAATTTGAGTATAAATGTTATATTTTCGTCTTGTGGCCATTCTTTGTAGATAATTTCTGCACATCTGCTTTAAGTACCTAAGATTTAGCAAACAAATACATTACTTCAGTCAACATTCCCTCTACAATGTTTGAAAATGAGGTTTTGATATTGCCAAAGTTAGGTAGGCAGTTAATGTGTTAATGCAAAGGATCATATTATTTGAATGGCACTGTATAACTTGGGGGTATGTGTGCAGCATTACTCAATAATAACTTGAGTAGAAGAAACAAGAAAAGAAATCTTGTATGTTTCTGTAGATCATTCTGATTTTTTTCCCCCCTAGTCACAATTTTACCCAGAAAGGTGACAGGAAGGCTTTGCCAACCTGCCTCTCTCTCCAAAAAGCAGGGTCTCCCCACATCCCTAGAGTCACGTGACCATTCAGAGTGGCCACATGGTTTTTGCATTCCAATGTATTATCTAAAAATGTGAAGAAGACACAACGCCATGTTTAAAACCACTGCGAAACTTTCCCAAAGCACAGGTGGTTTTGTGTGTGTGAGGTTTGGGGGCTTGAGTCTGGGTGTTGTTTTTGTTGTTGGTTATTTTATGTCAAAATTGCACAGACATGGTGCTCTACCAGGAAGGAGTTTGAGGTAGATGGAAGGAGTTTGAGGTAGATAGGCTCAGGCCACACTTAAAAAAAAAAAACAAAAACAGAAAAACGGGTATTCTCGTCTTAGGGTAAAAGCGGGTAATGAACATTCCTATCCCCAACACATCAATTTTATTTTTTTCTGTAAAACTGTCCTCAGTATTTGTGTTTTTACATTTATGGTTAATTTAATTGAAGATGAAAGGGCATTGCAAAGTTGTTCAACAACAGTTACCTCATTGAGTATGTCCAGTAGTGCAGGAAATGGTGTCTTATCTAATGACTTGCTACACTCGAGAAGAAACCCCAGTGTACTCCCAAAAGATAAAATGTATGTCATTTTATCTTTTATTCTGCTAAACCCAAAGATTACATGTTGGCATTCAAGGTGTAGCAAAGAATGATGTATATTTATAAATCTATTTATACCACTATACCATGTGTATATATATTTATAACCACTTAAATTGTGAGCCAAACCATGTAAAAGAACCTACTTTTCCTAAGGGCAAAAAAAAAAAGACCTTTTCTGAGACTTTGCTTAACACTCGATGACCTCAAAATCACATTGGTGTGCTTGGGCCTTGATCGCAACATTGGTGCAAAGGTGGGGACCGCATAACAACCAGGGAGACAGAGATAAACGAATAGTTTTTTACTAGTAAAGGACAATCTAAAACAGCTTTATCTTTGTTTTGCCACATTGTGATTATGTGGTCACACCCAAGTCACAGAAATAAAAATCCTTTTATTTACTCTGTTTGCCACCATAATTTCTCTCTTCCTCTCCCCTCTAAATACTGATACATCACTAATAAATCCATTTTATATATTCAGCGTTTTGTTGATGACAATGTCAAGCTGCAGAATAGAACAAATTTAGGATAATCTGGGGAAACCTAAGAGCCTTACTGATCTGTTCCTTTAAATAGCAAGACTGACAAATTCTTACGTATCAGTGTTTGACAGGCGTAGTTCTTAATCGTAAGTAAACCAAAGCATCGCTACCCTGACATCGACACCAAATACTCTCTATTCTCAACCACTCATTTGTTCTCTTTTCCTTTTGTGCTTTCTCATATTTGAAGATTTTTACAATGATGTGCTTGAGACGTCCTGCTTCTCTTTGTTTCATGTCTTGACTTTCCCTCTTAGGCCTCTTACATGTGAATGTTGACCCCGCAAGCAACAGTGGTTTTGTTTTTTTCCTCTACTCAAAGTTAAAACTGACCAAAGTTACTGGCTTTTTACTTTGCTAGAACAACAAACTATCTTATGTTTACGTACTGGTTTACATTGTTATTTATGTGCAAATTGTCAAAATGTAAATTAAATATAAATGTTCATGCTTTACCAATGCTTGTCTAGTGTCTTGAGTGAGGGGCCAGTGAGTGACATCTTACCCATACTGTAAGGGTGGTCCTAGAACAAAATTCGGACACAATACAATTTGTTTCCACCCTGTTTCCCTTTCTGTTTCCAGTAACCAGCAATGATCCCAACCTCCACCGCCCCCCCATCCCACCCCAAATCAGGGGCTATACTTGTGAGTGATGTGATACCATTGCTCTGTTGTGTCTCTCAAAACAGTCAACAGTGTAAGATTTTTCTTTAATTATGAGCTACAAAAGGGTTCTCTAAGATATTTTAAGCAGTAGCCTATAAATGGGGAAGATTTGTTTGCTTTTGTTAGACTTTGTTTTACTTTGTTGATGTTGACAGGCACGAAGTGGTAGGGAGGTAAAGAAGACTTGGATTCATTCCAGGAATGCCATCCTAGGCTTGGGCCAGTATGTCTGTATGTGGAGACCCAGCCTTCTCATGGGAGAGGGGTCTTGGGGGAAGCCTTTGGAAGCTGGATCAAGGAATACTTCTCCATCGGTGACATCAATTTTGCTCAGTAGCTCACCACAGGGAATAAGGAATTTTGTGCTTCTGCATAGTCTTCCTGTCCTACAGCCCATGATAATATTTTTCCATCACATCTTAACTCATGAAGTAGATTTATCACTGCATTTAAAACAAATTTCTAGAAAGCTTCTCCTTTACCAGAATCTGGGCATTATTAGTGTCAAACTCAAGGATCATGGTGGCATGGCCACGTGGTCCCGAGAGGCATGTGGTGGGAATGAACCTACTTGCTTGTCCATTGATGCTCTAGAAACCAACCTGTCTACAGAAAAAAAGGCACACATAAATTGGAGTCTAATTTGATAGATATGAATAAGAGCTTTTTCTAGAAAAGTGACAGTGCCTTCAATGAAAAAAGATGTAAACTTTTGCAAATGATGTTCCTTCTTGCTGTTCCATCCATTACCAACTTCATGGTTCCATGCTACCTTCATGTTAAGAAAATAATGCTCCTTCTTACATTGAATACTCAAAGCTGCCTGATTGTTTTTTTTAATGTTTCTTCTTTAAATTCACTTAAACATCTGTGCCAAGAATTTGAAATGCTGCCAAAGACACGTAATTGTGGAGTTAAGAAAACCAGAACCCTATTGTCATAAACATGCCAAATGGTGCTGGTTGCGCTCCTAAATTCTACAGAACCATTGTGGTAATAATTTTTCAAAACAAAGCCCAATAAGATCAAGAGAGTAACAGTTACTGCCATAAATCATAGTTCTTTACTTGGCAACGAACTTGAGAGTTATAAATCTTGGGAACACTTGTGGACTTAGCCGTTTAATGAAACATTACATGAAAAGATAATGTTCACTAAGCACCCAAGTCCACCAGGCCAAAGTCCACACTGTTGAATTGAGGTTTTGTGCAGCTGTTTGTCAGGTAAGGAAAGATGAAGAGGTCACCTTTTTCTGAGTCCTTCTTCAACAAAATAAATGCTCTGTGTCGAAATTATGTATTTGATTTCCTGTAGGGCAATATACCAGCATATACAGTTCTATGGGAGTTTCTAGTCTCATTTCTAGATTTTTTTTCTTGGGGGAACTAAACCAATTTAGGATCCATAAATTGGTATAAGTGAGCTCATTCCTTTGTGTGTGTGTGTGTGTGTGTGTGTGTGTGTGTGTGTGTGAGAGAGAGAGAGAGAGAGAGAGAGAGAGATTCCTTCCCATAGCATCTTTAAAAGGAGATAATGGGAAAAGGCCAGAACAGAGGAATGAAAGTAATTAGAGGCACACGGTAGAGGGTTTTAATGTAAAACCAGGCCTCTAGGATAATGAGTCTAAAAGAGAAGGCAGTACCACAGAGGGTGACAACTCAAAAAATGACTAGGAGAGAAGCTGGTGTGTCTATTGAACCAATCTAGAAGATGCTTCTGTTTCCTTTAAGAGACTGTAGAGTTGTTTGTTCATAATACGTCCATTTGATTACTAGCTTCTGACCAGAAGAAATCAGATCATTCTGAGCATTGGCTACCTCCACTGGAGTCCACTTTGGGTATACAGCCCCTGCAAGAAAAGTTGTAGGGCCCATGGATAAGCCTCCCTTCACATTCATTTTCAAGCCTCAAGTCCTCAGAGCCCACAAGTCCTTTTGCTCAAAGCGCTGTTGACAGCTGCTTGCTAAATAAATAAGAAGTGATTTTAATTTCAATAGAGTCTTAATCATGTAATTTAGGCAAAAATCCAGCAAGATTCTAAGAAGTTATTTTTAACTTACACAAATACTCTTCATTGCCCAGTTCACAGAATACTATAAACTAACAAACCCCCTCCTAGTTTGGTCTTCCTTCCAGGTTTGAAAAGTAGTGAACCAGAGTTGGCCATGTACAAATTTCCTTCTCTCTCAATTTAAAGTAGGTTTTATTTAACATGAACATGAATGTAATCATCTCGTGCTTTCCTCTAAACCTATCATGAAAGAAAGAGGAAGTATCAGGTAAGGTAATTTTGGTAACAAATTTTTCAGTGTGTTAACAATTCCTAGTGGAATTGTGGCAATACTCCTTATCTTTAAGTATCTGAAGGATTTACCTGTAGATGATGGTAGCCAGCTGTTTTCCATTGCGAATGAGGAATGAAATCTAACCACAGCAGAAGCGACAAAGAGTAATGTCTCCCCTTAGGGTTTGTAACACAATGAGTTCCTTTCCATGGGAAGGAGTAGAGTCTCCTTCCTTGGAGGGCTTAGAGAGGAGTCAGCTTGTTTGAAAGCATAGGATGAACAAGATGCTGTGGTGAGCCCCTCCTAGGTCTGTAATTAAAAGATTTCACATACCTGGGGACAAGATAGATGTAAGATTTTGGTAGAAAATTTAAGTTTCTTTATCTTTCCGGGTAATGCAAATGGTTAACACACTCACTTGCTAACTGAAAGGTTGGTGGTTCTAATCAACCAACCCAAAAAGCCAAACTCATTGCCATCGAGTTGATTCTGACTCATAGCAACCCTACAGAAAAGAGTAGAACTGCCCCATAGGGTTTCCAAGGCGACATCTTTCTCCTGTGGAGCAGCTGCTGGGTTCGAACCACCAACCTTTGGGTTAGCAGTAGAGCAAGTAACCACTGCACCACCAGGGCTCCTTTAATCTACCCAGAAAACCAAAACCAAACCCATTGCCATCAAGTCGATTCCGACTCATCACGACCCCGTAGGACAGAGTAGAACTGCCCCATAAGGTTTCCAAGGAGTGGCTGGTAGATTCGAACTGCAGACCTTTTGGTTAGCAGCCAAGCTCTTAACACTTCTCCACCAGGATGCCAGTCTACTCAGAGGCACCTCAGAAGAAAGTCCTGATGACCTACTTATGAAAAATCAGTTATTAAAAACCAAATGGAGAGTGCAGTTCACTCTGACACACATGGGGTTGCCATGAGTTGGAACTGACTTGATGGAAACTGGTTAGATTATCTTCCTGAGGCCTCCTATGGAATGCTATACATATATATATGTATTTTATAGTCATATGAAAGACATATCTGGAGAACTTGTCTAATTCCGAAGAACTTCCATGATACCATGAAATGAACTGTGCTGTATATTTTGTAAAATGTTTGAAAAACTATCACACATTTGAGTTCCCAGGAATTCTGAAAGAGGATGGAAAATGATACATGGTACCACTCTCAAACAGCGTTGCACCTGGCACTCTGTAAAGCAACCATGAGGCTAGTAGTAGCCTTTCAGGACAGTTGTTACTCGAGAAGAGAAGGGACCATCTCCACCTTCTCCTCTCCCATCAACACTACTTCCCTTGAGTAGTACTTTCCATCTACACAGGCAAAGGAAGTGAGACACACCTTTGTCCCCTCCCAGATAACCCTTTCTTGCCTCCCCAGTTTCAGTATAAGTAACTGACAGCAATTTATTTTGAGACCAACAGAGGAGCATTAATAGAGTGACTTAAAACTATATTAAATGGAGTGAGCTTAAAACTACACCCCAGGTGGGAACTGAGACCATGAATCCAGCTCTCATGGAAAGAGTAGTGAACCAGGAGTTTGGATGTTTGGTTGTAGTCCTGGTGCAGCCCCTCGTTAACTGTGCTCTTGAGAAAGTCCTAGAACCTCCCTGGACCTCAGTTTCCTGATTCGTAAAGCAAAGGAGTCGTATCTGGGTTGTCTTCCAGCTCTTTCAGAAGTCTCACATCTCTTAATATGCTAAAATTCCATATTTCTTTTATTTCCTTTTTGTTTGTTTTCCTTGGAACACTGACTGTTGCTATAGGCAGATATTTGTAATTTAGAGAGCAGATGTCAGAGAAAATGGAAATGAGGGGCAGGCTTGTATGGAAACAACTATTGTGGCTTCTTTTGGCAAAAGAGAGTGGGCCTGCAAAGGTTCTGCTAATTTGTGAGAACCATGAACTTTCTCCAGGAATTAATACGCTCATCTGAAAGAAATCAGGATTCTTTTAATGGAAATAATGGGTTGTGCTTAAATTGAACTTCTGCTGGAATAAAATAGCATGAATTCTAGAATGTTTAGTTTAGTGGGTTTTTGTTTTCTCTTCTTGATCTTTTATTTTTTTTAAGCAAAGGCATACTTGTGAGACGATTGGGAAACATTTAAGCTTGTTGCCACAAAAAGGAAAACCAGAAAAAAAAAAAAAAACAAAACCCATTGCTGTCAATTCCGACTCATGGAGACCCTATAGGACAGAGTAGGACTGCCCCATTGGGTTTCCAAAGAGAGACTGGTGGATTCAAACTGCCAAGTTTTGGGTTAGCAGTTGAGTTCTTAACTACTGCGCCACCAGGGCTCCACAAAAAGGAAAGGGGAACCAAAATACTGTAGCTAAAGAAGAGAATGAGTTAATAAATAAGTACCAAAGAAGACGTTGAAAGAAACATTTCGGTTAGCATGAAAGACACATTTCAGTTAGCAAAGCAATCAAGGCCTAGATACCGTTTTAACGGCTCAAGGTTTAAAAAGGGAGTAAAGAAAAATTAAACACAAAGAGGGAGGAAGAGAGAGGGAAAGGTTAAGCCAAGACAGAAACTGTAAATAGATAGATGTGAAAGGGGTTGAAAATAAGTGAAAAGTGAAAAATTGCTTTATGAATAAACCGTTAAAAAATAGTGAGTGAAAAAGCGATTGTGCTT